AAAAATCTTTAAACTTATTTGAAAGAGGATTTTATGGTTAATTTAAATCTAATTTAACTAAGTAAAAATTATTATTTAAATATTGAAAATAAAATGGTCAAAGTAAAGGACCTCGAAAAAATGATGGAAATTATTTTGCAAAAAAATTGAGGTAATGGTAAAGCGTTTGTTGCTAAGCAATTTATGGGGATTACTCAGATCAACTGCTTAGCAACAAAATCGTAAAATTGGAGAATGGATCTCGAAAAAGAAAAGTTGGAAGTGGTCGAATCGCCAAGGTAGCTACTAAAGAAAATATTCCAAAGGTTGCTGCAATTTTTAAAAATAATTCAGTGTGCTCCAAAAAGAAAGTAGCTCAAGTTTTTAACTGTAGTCAAACTCGAATTTCCCAAATATTAAAAATAATGATTAAAATTTGAACTTTCAAAAGAATAAATTGTCCAGATCGTAACCATCAGCAGAAGTAAACTATGCGTCCTAAATGTCGTAAACTGTACAAAAATTATAAAAACTTGGATTTTGTTATGGATGATGAAAGCTATTTTACCTTAAACAATAGCACATTAGCTAGTAATGATAGGTTTTTAATGATACGAATTTTAACTTAGGAAGAGGAGTGACTGTTCTTATAAAACCAGCGAAAATATCCACAGGTAAACAAAATTATTTATGTAGCTTTTCCATTTTGTTCAAGGTGTTCAATATTAGAGGTGTAACGGATATTTTTGCCGTATATGCCGGATATTGAATTTTTCTAAAGTTCTATAAGTGTTTATGAAAAAAAAAAATAAGTCTTGCCAATCTACAATAAATTCAAGAGCTTACTCTAAAATATCAGTGAAAAACTGTATGACATATATGTGCTAATGAAGTATAGAAAAAAGTAATTTAAAAAAAAACAAAAATTTGGCGATAAAAAACGATTTTTCTTGATACATTATTAACGCATATACCTGAGTTCAAGGCCGACGCGATAGGGGGTGTGGGGGTGTGACACCCCCCCCCCATCAATGATTTTTAGTCGGCAAACTGGACCCTTAGTCGGCAAATCGGACCTTTTTTGACTAGTTCGTCGGCAAATGTCGACCCTTTCGATATAGGTTAGACTGTCGGCAAATGTCGTAATGACAGTCGGCAAATTTTGGAAAACGAGGACCTTTTTTTTTTTTTTTTTTTTTTTTAGTCGGCAAAAGTTGTTATGGCACCCCCCCCTCCCACGTGACACCTACTCGCGCCGGCCCTGCCTGAGTTATACCAGCTTTTTATTGATTTTATTTTTTAAAATCTTGAATACTATTTAATGTAGAATGGCAAAACTTGTTTTCACTTTATAAACACATGTAGAACTTAAGAAAAGTTCACTATCCGGCATATCCGGCAAAAATATCCGGTATACCACTATTCAATATGTACAAATTTTGATCTGTTTTTTTAAGGTTAGCAATATGCTTGGTCGAGATACTTTATTTAAATGGCGTATTTTACCCAACGTCAGTCAAAAAAATATATATATATAATTGCCTCGTTTTCAACCCTCTAAATAAATTGTTTACTGAAATTTTTGATCGCTTACGATCAGCGTTAGAGGCACAATGGCTACCCGAAAAAAAAACCCGGCTAATCCTGTTAAGTTCCTAATAAGTTTCCTACTAAAACTTAGTAAATTCCCGCCGAGTACTTACTAGGAACTTAGTAGGATCAGCAGGTTTTAGAGGAAACTTAGTAGGGTTAGCAAGTTTAAGTAGGAAACTTGGTAGGATAAACAAGTTTTTAGTAGGAAACTTAGTAGGATTAGCAAGTTTTTAGAAGGAAACTTAGTAGGATTGCTAGGGTTTTTATTCGGAACTTAGTAGGTACTTAACAGGATTAGTAGGTTTTTTTTCTCGGTTAAGTATTACTTTCTAGTTTTAGTTAATAGTTTTTTTAGTTACATTCATATTTTTATTAGGGTTTTATTTAATTATTTGAGTTTTAAAGATTTCATAGTTATATTAGTAGGGTTATTTTTCAAGAAATATACGAGTTTATGTAAAAATAATAATTTTTGCTTAAACACAGATTCTTCTTGAAAATATAATCCTTCTAATATAATTTAACTAGTCGCTAAGCAATAAGGAGGCTTATTTATAAAACAATAATAAAAATAACAAATAATAAAGTGTTTGATTGTTTAACTAAAACATTTAAAAAAATAAAATAAACAGCGATGGTCAGTTCTTTTGGCAATTTCGCAGGTGCCAGTGGAATAATTGCACCCATAAGATTTGTCTTAATCTTTTACGACCATAACTGTAGCTATAACGTAATTTAAAAAAATATTAATGCAATTCAACAACCTAATAACATATATTTTACAATAAAAAAGCATATTTTACTCACCATATATTTAGAACGATGAAAAACTTTCATATATATATATATATATATATATATATATATATATATATATATATATATTATATATATATATATATATATATATATATATATATATATATATATATATATATATATATATATATATATATATATATATATATATATATCTGCGATAACAGGTAAATACGATTTCTTTTGTCTTAACGAATTTATTCAATTCTTAAAAGAAACACTACATAAAGTCAAAATGGTACAAAAAGAAATCTGAATTAGTTAACAACAAATTCTTGTCGCCTTTATGAATTAAGATTGATGTTTCATTAATTAATTGATTTCAAAAAGAATCCTAAATAACAACTTCGAATAAAAAGAATATTGTAAAGTAAATATATAATAATACAAAAAAACATAATACAATTTCAAACTTTAAAAAATAGAAATAAAACCTAATCATGTTCATAATTATTTTTAACAGCAACACCATAAAAAAATTTCTTTGTTTTTTTTTACAAGAGCATAGTGAGTAAATTTGCTTGAATCAAAAACAGCTAATCCACACTTTTTCAACAACAAATAAGGAGATATTTTTAACAAAACATGCCTGATTTTAATAGGAATATTAAAAGAATCCATATGACGATGAAACTTACTTACATTTTTATACAATCAACATATACACAAAATTTTTTTTGATTATGTGCAATGAACAAAATTTTTACAATCACATTAAATTCTATTAATAAATATGCATAATATGAAGCGGATTTTAGTTTTTTACCATAATGATAAGCACACACACATATATATATATATATATATATATATATATATATATATATATATATATATATATATATATATATATATATATATATATATATATATATATATATATATATATATAAATATATATATATATATATATATATATATATATATATATATATATATATATATATATATATATATGTATGTATATATATATATATATATATATATGTTTATATATATATATATATATATATATATATATATATATATATATATATATATATATATATATATATATAATATATATATATATATATATATATATATATATATATATATATATATATATATATATATATATATATATATATATATATATATATATATATATATATATATATATATATACAGGGCCGGTGCACCCTATAGGCGAACTAGGCAATCGCCTAGGGCGCCAAAGTTTAGGGGCGCCTAAAAATTGATAAGTTTTTTTATATGCTAACAAAAAACAACGCTTTTGCTCATTGAGCAATATGTACGTACATTTTACCGAACGCAATCTAAATCATAACAAATATGGCGGCGTCTTTACAATCAATGTGATTTTCATAACAACTTTCAATAGTTAGTCGACTATATTCTTTATATAATTTATACTGACAATATATATACATATATACATATAGATGAATAGTGACATTCTATATACTATTATACATTTATATTAAGTTTTAGACACTTATTAAGAAAAGTAAAATATTTTTTATATGAATATATAATAACTAGCTTAAATCTAGGGCTATTATATATTACGTATTATATTATTATTATACTTCACCATACGTATAACTTTGCTATACAAAATAAAATTTGAATTATTTAAACACAATGCATCTAGCAGGTTAAATTTTTTGTTGTGTCGCTTCTACAATATGTCTTGATCTGCACCAGCTAATTACACATTGAAATCTCATTCATATAGCTAACTTCCATTTCCGTTTAAAAAAACACAAAAAAATACTAGCAGGACGTATAACTTTGCCAAGTTGTTTTTTGTATAATACAGTAAAATGATAACCTGTTAAAACCTTACAGAGCTGTTCAGACCTGTTGGAAACTATAGCTAGCTATATATAATTTATTCTTGAAGCCAATCACAGAAGACCTATTAATGTATTAGTTAAACATTGCAACATTCATTTATTTTATTATTTTCTTGTTACATTTCAGATATGGCTGAGAGAAAGAAGCCTTCAGGAGCTCAATATCGTAAACGAAAAGTTGAACAGCAGAGGGAACAAGAAAAACAGAAGGGTTCATTGCTAAAATTTATATGCCGACAAGACTCTACTAAAGAGGATAGTAATGGTGGACAGATTCCCACTGATATGGAAGCTGAAGAAATATCTAATGTTGTTGATAATGATAATGTGATGATGAGTGAAACACTTTCTTACTCAACAGTTCCCGTTTCCCATGCAGATAATGGCCAATTGAATAATTCTCTCGAGGAACATGTACAGCAAGCAAGTGAAGAAAAAACGGATAATGTTATTCCACAGGATCCAGCACTTTGGCCTCTACTAATTAATCATAATACACGTGCAATCATTGTAGAACGTGGACCTCAGCAAATAAAAGATATCAGTTTCCCAAATGATAAGAACAATCGAAAGTTTTCAGTATTTCACTACTTAAGAAAACTTCCTAATGGAGAATAATTATGTCGCAGCTGGCTCTTGTATTCAGTATTAAAAGACTCAGTGTTTTGTTTCTGTTGCAAACTGTTCAGTATGAAAGCAATTGGCATATCATCACTAACTCATACAGGTTCAAGTGACTGGAAAAACATGGCGGCAATTATTTCTTCCCACGAGAAAAGTCCTGAACATTTGCAGAACTATCAAAAGTGGAAAGAACTACATCAGCGATTACAGAGGGATAGTACAATAGATGCAGAAATTTTGCGCAAGATGAAGAATGAAGAAAAGTATTGGCAGCAAATACTAAAGCGTTTAATAGCATTAGTGAGAGTTTTGGGTGAACAGAATCTAGCTTTTCGCGGTACAAATGAAACATTGTACAGTGCCAATAACGGGAATTTTTTAAAATTTGTGCAATACTTAGCCATTTTTGATCCATTAATGATCGAACATCTACAAAAGATATCAAATAAAGAGCTTCATACACACTATCTTGGCAAAGATATACAAAATGAACTTATTCAACTGTTAGGAAATGCTATTAAGAAAGAAATCATACAAACAGCAAATGCAATGAAATATTTTTCAATAGTTCTCGATGGTACTCCTGACTGTAGCCATGTTGAGCAAATGACAATAATTATTCGTTTTGTTAAAGTTGATTCATTGAAAAAGGAGTTTAGTATCAAAGAACATTTTTTAGGCTTTGTACCTTTAAAGAAAACAACTGGAGCCTATATGGCAGAAACGATAATACAATAACTAGGAGAAATGGAGTTACCTATTGATAATTTACGTGGCCAAGGCTACGATAATGGCGCAAATATGATAGGCAAAAATAATGGTGTTCAAAAGAAAATATTAAACATTAATCCTCGAGCATTGTTTGTTCCTTGCAGCGCGCATACTCTTAATTTGGTTGTCAATGATGCTGCAAATTGTTGTCTAATGGCTACAAGTTTTTTTGATATTGTCCAACGTGTGTATGTATATTTTTCGTCTTCAACACATCGGTGGGTAGTTTTCACTAGTCATCAACCTACGTTAACTGTTAAACCTCAAAGTGAAACAAGATGGGAAAGCAGAATAGATGCTATAAAGCCTTTTCGATATGAACTTGGTAAAATATATGATGCACTGCTAGAAATAGCTGATGATACTTCTCTAACTGGATCCTCAGGAAGCACTGCACGCAGTGATGCTAAAGCACTTGCGAATAGTGTTGCAAAGTTTAAGTTCGTGGTTTCAATTGTTGTATGGTACAACATTTTTGAAATCAATATAACAAGTAAGCAGCTCCAAGCTAAAGATTTGGATATTCATGCTGCTGTACAACAGTTACAACACACACAAGCCTATTTGGTTGACTGTAGGAGTGACATAGGTTTTGCAAGAATGCTAGTGGATGCTGCTGAAATTGCTAAGGATTTGGAGATACCACCAACCTTTGAGGCAGAACCACGATTACGGCGGAGAAAAAAGCAATTTGCATATGAAGCTGAAGATGAGCCTGTGCAAGATCCAAAACAAAATTTCAAAGTGAATTTTTTCTTTGCTATACTTGACACAGCAATAAGGTCGGTTGAAGAAAGGTTTGAACAAATGAGAACAATTGAATCTGTATTTGGTTTCTTATATCATATTCATGGTCTACAGAGTAAAAATTCACAAGAAATATTGGAATGTTGCATGAAACTAGAATCTGCTTTACAACATGGTGATAACAGAGATTTAGTTGCATCAGATTTGTGTGGCGAACTACAGTCTATTGCACGACAACTTTCTGAAGAAACAAAGTCTCCTCAAGATGTTTTTCGATTTATTCTTTGCCAAAACTTGGAAGACAGTCTACCCAACCTTTGTATTGCTCTTCGTATTTTGCTGACATTACCTGTTTCTGTCGCTAGTGGAGAGCGTAGTTTTTTCAAACTAAAATTGATAAAGACATACATTCGATCATCCATGTGCCAAGACAGATTGGTTGGGTTGGCAACTCTTTCCATTGAGAACGAACTTGCAGACAAGCTGGACCTGAAGGACCTTGTGATCGATTTTGCCCAGAAAAAGGGACGCAAAGTACAGTTTTGATATTTTTAAATAAATAAATACTTACCTGGTGTTTTCACTTTATTTTGCATTTTATTTTGATTTTTTTACGTAAAAGGGGTGCGACCTTTGAAGTTTTGCCTAGGGTGTCATAACCCCTTTGCACCGGCCCTGTATATATATAATATACAAACACACACTCAAAACATTACAAGTTCTTCATTTAAATTCAACATGAATAATGAATAATTATGCATAATCACATTATATATAAAGAAACAGAAAATCAAATAGTTACCTGAAGCTGATTGATTGTACATGGTTTGAGATTGAACTAAACATATTGTGTGTTATATTTTTTAACGCATTTTTTTTTTGTGTGTGTGTTTTTATAACTTTCATGATTTTCAATCAATGCACAATTATTAAATATTACTAAAAACTTTAGTAACTAGCATCATATAACTATACATAGTAGTAATTAATGAAAATATCCTAAAATTAAATTGTGGAAATTTTAAATTAATATATATTATGGCATTTATAACAAAAATCTCAATGTAAAGTAAATAAAAATTATAACATAAAATACAACAATATTCAATAATTTTATAATTTGTTTAACATGTTAAAAAGAAATGTTAAATCTTGTTAACAAGAGATAACAATAAAAATAAAAATATATTTACCAGTAAAAAATGTTTATATATATTTTATAAAAGAGTAATTTCAAGATTAATCAATTTTTAATATCAAATGGTTTACTCCCATTTAGTCTGATTTAAACTTTTAGTCAGGCTGCAAACTACGCAATCATCCCCAGATGTTCTTGAGCTTTTTCCCTATAGAATTACAAATATTATTTAGTAAAACTATTGAATCTAAAAAAGCTGTTTAAGGGCTGACTTGTCTTCCGTATGAATAAATAAAAGATGGCGTATAACAAAGACGATTTTTTATACTTGTTTTATTTTTGAAAATTTACTAGGAACTTACTAAGTAATTCGTTTAATCCTGATAAGAACTTACTAGGATTAGCAGGAAATTCATAAACGTCATTTGACTAATGGGAAACTTATTAGGTTTAGCCGTATTAAGCGAAAACTTACCAGGATTAGCCGTAGGGTAATTCGGGGCAATATGCGACAACGGGGAAGATGAGACAACTTTCTTTTATCTTTTCTGGAGATAGTAATCATCATAGTCCTTCATTAATATTATGCATATAGTTTATGGTTGTACTTGCTAAGCTTAATACACCTGTTTTTTGGAATGTTTAGTTTGTTTGATGACAAAATAACTGGTATTATTGAAACTTAGTAAAGCCATTATTTTTTTCAACGCATTTCTTAGTGAAGACATATTCAATGCAATTCATATTCTTGATATATATTTAGATGTAATATTGTCGTGCTGCTAATTTTAAAAAAAAAGATTTCTTTATTATTCATACTCCAAAAAGAAAAGAAAACTTAATTTGATTTGTAAGGTAAGAATTTTATGTTTTTAACATACGGTCTTTGTGGGAAAGATGAGACAGTCCATTATTCAGTTGTTTTAATTTTCAGATACTCTGATATATACTCCGAAAAATCAAAAAAAATTTTGTAAACATTTTGTGGTTTTTATGATGGTTAGAAATTACAAACGTAAAACAAATCGTGGAAATTGGGATGAAAGCAATATGAAATTAGCTATCCAAGCTGTCAAAAATAAAGAAATGACATTACGTAAAGCTGCTAATGAATATTTGGTTCCAAAAGATTCTCTCAACAGAAGAGTTAATAAATCAATAAAAACAATGCCTGATGATAAACCATACATAAAATTGCTTGGTTCTTATAGAAAAGTGTTATCTGATGCCCAAGAAAAAGATTTAGCACAGTATATAATCAAAATGGAGTTAGTCTTTTATGGTCTATCAATTAATGAACTTCAAAGGGTGGTGTATGACTATGTTGTACGCAATAAAATAAACCATCCATCCAATAAACCAATAAAATAAACCATTAATACTGAAAAGAAACTTGCAGGTCGAGATTTTATAGTTGGATCTTTGAAACGACAACCCTTTTTGTCTATTCGAAAACCTGAGGCAGTATCCATAAATCGAGTTTTTGATTTAAATAAGGCTGATGTTCAAAGATATTTTGACAATCTGGAAAAACTTATTAACAAAAACCAATTTGAAGCAAATTGCATCTACAACTGTGATAAATCTGGATTAAAAAATCTGGATTAACTGTGATGAATCTGTATTTATTTTTATTTTGTATTGTCTATATTTTTATAATTGTATTTTTACAGGCCAACGTGTTGTATCTTCAGTAACTAGTGGTGAGAGAGACCAAACAACAAATGTTATACTAGCTTTTAATTGTGTGGGACACTACATACCTCCTATGATTACTTTTAAAAGAAAACGGATGCTAGATTAATTGATAGATGATGCACCACCAGGAATACTTGGACGCTTTTCTAAAAGTGGTTGGGTAGATACAAATTTGTTTATGGATTTTATAAGACACTTTGTAATACATGGAAATTGTAGCACTACAAATAAGTGTTTGTTAATTCTTGATGGTCACAAATCACACACCAAAAATCTTGATCTTCTCAATTATGCTAGCATAAATGGATTGCATATTTTATCACTACCACCACATACATCCCATAAGCTGTAGTGGTGTAGTGGTAGAGCGCTTGCTTCATAAACGAGTGGTTCCGAGTTCGATCCCCACCACGTCCCTGGTAGTACCGCGCTCAACTCGTTTCTCCGCGCAGCGGCCTTGCTCGTTAAGGTTCGTGTTTCGGAGTTATAGAGTTGAGAGAGGGTTATAACCACAAATAAGTAGCCTCCTCGTCTGTAGTGGCCTTCTCGGCCTTGAGGAGGTGAATTAAAATAAAAAAAAAAAAAGCTCAAACCACTTGATTGAACTTTGTTCAAATCTTTGAAAAGTGCTTATAACTTAGTATGCATAACATGGATGAGAAAGCACCCAGGAAGAAGAATTACAGTTGATAAACTTTCAGGACTACTTTGTCAAGCTTATGTGAAAGCAGCTACAGTGGAAAATGCTATTTCTTGATTTCGAGTAACAGGCATCAATCCTTTTAATCGAGAAATCCTTCCTGAGTCAGATTATTTTGAAAATCCATGTTTAAAAGATAGTTATACAAACATAATATTTAATGAAATAGCAGATATAAATCCTGAACAATCATCTACAACTAATTCTTTAATTGAGCCTAGCCAAAATTCGAATGTTCAAACATCCATTGCTAGTTTTTCAGTTAATGAAATAAATGCCTCGTTGTCAATTTCAAACTCTCAACAGCTTTCTTTTACTGATATATTATCAATTTCAGCTATTGAAGTGAAGACTACAAAAACAAAGGGAGAAAAGTCAGAAATTTTGACTAGCACATTGTATAATAAAACTTTGCAGGAGGGGTTCGAAAACAAAAAAAAAGTTAAATACAACAAAAAAAAACCATCAGAAAAAAAGATTAAACTAAAAAAAGATGATAAAATTAAATATGGAGAAAACCAAAAAATATTAGAGTCTAGCCAGAAATGTGTCCAATGCTTTAGGTGTAAATTATGGTACCATGAAGTTTATTTTGTTAAGTTAGGGACAGATTTTTTGTGTAAACTGTGTGTGTGCCATGATTATATTTAAACATTCTATGATCCATTAATTTATGTCTTATAG